TTTATTTCTGTGATGCACAGCTGAATTTTCAGCATCATTACTCCAGTCTTCAGTGTCACATGATGCTTCAGAAATCATTCTAATATGCTGATTTGCTGCTCAAGAAACATTTCTGATTATTATCAGTTAAAAACCGTTGTGCTGCTTCATATTTTTGTGGAAACTGATACTTTTTTTATTTTATCGTATATTTTGATGAAAAATAAGTTCAAAAGAACAGCATTTGTTTGAAATGGAAATCTTTTATAATATTTTAGATGTCTTTACTGTCACTTTTGATCAGTTAAATGCATCCTTGCTGAATAAAATTTTTTTTTTTTTTAATAATCTGATTGCAGACGTTTGAATTGTGATATATGTAAACCTAAGTTGTAATTTGCATGCGGAAACATACATAAATAATAATGCAGGAGATATCAAAAAGGCTAATAAATCTCTTAAAATATCTGATAATTGTACCTTTTTATGACAAGACAAGGTAGTGCAATTCTGCCAAAGCAATCATATTTATGAATTATTAATTTATGATACTGTAATTGTAAAAATAAAATACCTTGAAAAATAGATTTAAAAACTCCCACGTATTTAAAGTATTAGGAATATACAGTATATGGTGTTTTTATATGTATGTTTTCTTTCTTTCTTTCTTCTTTTTTTTTTTTTTACATGGACCTCAACATGGACGTTCTGCTAAAGTTCTCTTTTTGTGTTTTCCAAAAGAAAGTAAGGCATATGACCTTGGAATGCCGTGAGTTTGTAAAAATGCTTGACAGAATATCCATTTATGAATGAAATAGTTTATATGAATACATGTAGTGCTCCACAGTTAGAACGTCCAGAAAACCTCATATCAACAAGTATGATAAAAATGAGCTATTGACCGCTTCGTTCTAGACTTATGGCTCCGTTAGACCCAGTCTCTCTTTTTCTGACTCACGTTTCATCTATTTCTCCTCTTCTCACGACCTCTCGTCTCTCTCTCTTTCTTGGTTCAGCAAGCAGTGAAAAGTGGAAGAATGGATTTCAAAGGCTATGCCTTTAACCCCACCTCAATATTAGTTTTTATTATTGTTATTGCCAGCCAGCCGCGCTGGTGGCGGCGGGCCACAGCGTGCAATTCCATCTGGGCCCCGACTGAAAAAAGCTGATATGTTGCCTCTAGCCTGCACGTCTACATGAGGCAGCGAACACTACATTTTTGAAGCGATGGGGAGATGTATATTTTTTTCCAGCACACAGAGCTTTACGGTTAAGCATGCTGAGACATCCGCTCACACGCTTGAGCTGTTCTCAGTGCAGAGATCCCAGCGAAGCCTGTGTCCTCCTGCTGGGGCCGTATCGTGTCCGAGCAGCTGTGAGACAGGTACAGCGGGCCGTGGCAGGTGGAGATGCTTTGTGCCGGGGTTGTGGATTTCGTCTTGCTGTGGCTGATGAATATGTCACAGAAAAGCTTTGTGCATTGATGACCAGCGCGACCGCAGCAAGTTAGGAGTTACTCGTCCTTGTGTAAAGAACATCAGCAAAGAACAGCTTTTATTGTAGACTACAGCAGAATTCATAGTAGTATCTGTCTTGATAAAAACCTTGTGCATGCTGCTTATTTTTTAAAAGGTCACATCCAACATATATTTTTTCTTGCACCAAAAATGGTTCAAATTTGGTTCCATTTTCTCTCTAATCCTTAAGCCAGGAACACTTGATGCAAGTACGCAAATGCAGATTGTGAATTCTTGGCAAATAGAAATAGAGAATACAGTAGAAATCTGAAATATTATTACAATGTAAGACAACTGTTTTCTATTTGAATATTTTTTAAATGTAATTTATTTCTGTGATGCAAATCTGAATTTTCAGCATCATTACTCCAGTCTTCAGTGACACATGATCCTTCAGAAATCATTCTAATATGCTGATTTTCTGCTCAAGAAACATTTCTGATTATCATCAATATTGAAAACTGATGCCGGATGGCCTCACGGTAGGCAGCATGAGTAACCTGCCCACAGCGGCCCCTCTGTCAGCCACCGGTGTGAGGAAAGCCTGGCACGAGCACGTCACTCAGGACCTGCGCAACCACCTTGTACACAAACTGTTAGTAAACGCTGCTCTTAAACTATATATATTTTATACATGTTTTTAAATTGTTATGCTCAGCAAGACTGCATTTATTTGATCAAAAATATACTAAAAACAGTAATATTGTGAAAAAAATTATTATAGTTTAAAATAACCCTTTTATATTGTAATATAACAATTGTAATAACATTGTGCTGCTTTTTTTTTTTTTTTTTTTTTTGTGGAAATCGTGGTACTTTTTTCTTATAACATGTTCATAAATAACATGTTCAAAAGAACAGCATTTATTTGAAATAGGACACTTTTGTAACCATTATATATGTCCTTACTCTCACTTTGATTCACTTGTTTTCAACCATTTAATGCATCCTTGCCGGAAAAAGTTGTTGTGTACAAATTATATTGTTGTGCCCCCTCCCCCAAATATTATGGATGTAAAAAAAAAAGCACCTACTATAAGGGTCAAAATAGAACTTTAATAAAATATAAAAGTAAATAAATAAATAAATTGTAGCTAATTAAATTGTATTGTTTTCAAATTACAACTGTAGCTCTAGACAGTTACCTATGGCTATTATTTTATTAATACAGTTGTCTGATTGATTTTATAGTCTCAAGCATTCAGAAATCACGCAAAAGAAAATGGACAGCGCCTGAGTTAAATATATGAGTGTCACAGCAAAGGGGGTGAATACTTAGGACCATGTGATATTTCCGTTTTTCTTTTTTAATAAATCTGCAAAGATGTCAACAATTCTGTGTTTTTCTGTCAATATGGGGTGCTGTGTGTACATTAATGAGGAAAAAAAATTAACTTAAATGATTTTAGCAAATGGCTGCAATATAACAAAGAGTGAAAAATTTAAGGGGGTCTGAATACTTTCCGTACCCACTGTATATACATACATACAATGTTGGGTAAGTTACTCTAAAAAAGTAATTAATTACTAGTTACTAATTAACTAATCTTCAACAGTGTAATTAGATTACTGTAAAAATTACTCTCTCCAAAAAGTATTTAATTACTTATAACTAGTTACTTTCTAAATCCTTTATCAACCTCGCCAAGTTAATGATACAAGGACAGACATGAAACGGTTCTTTTCATTCTTTCAAATAAATAAAAGATAACTACATAAATTATTCTGGTCACACTTTAGATTAGAATCCAATTCTCACTATTAACTAACTATTAGCTATGACTTTTGCCTCAATTTACTCCTAATTACTGCTTATTAATACTTAGTAAAGTAGTTGTTAAGTTTAAGAATTGGGTAGGATTAAG